TATCGTCGAGGATGTCGGCAGCAACGCTTCCAAAGGCATTGGCCTGGTCAAAAAAAACAACAGCGTGCAGTGAGACTTATGCAAACGTGAAGGGCGCCAACCCGCAATGAGCTGAATCTTAATAGCTGCTTCGCGGCGCCTGTGGTGGACCCCTCCATGGAGGTGATCGGCAAAGCCTCGTTGAGGATAACAGGTATTTCCTCGATGGCCGAGGTATCTACTGTACGCCTTGCTGAAGGGACACATGCGATGCACTAAAAGAACAGAGCGTAGCCCAGGAGACGTAGCTGTAGGCTTTGGTATACTGCAGCCCCAAGGCCGATGCCAGTTCTGTGGTAGACGGGCCCTGCCTCGAACATCCCAAAAAAACCCACGAACACGACGCGTTAACCATTCCGTGTTGGGGATTGTTTGGGCAAGCGCATCTGGTTCATCTTTTGTATTTGGGGTGCCGATGAGTGGGGGGAGCAGCGTCGTCCGAAACATCTCCATGGGAAAGCTCCACGGGGGTGCGCTTTTTCGGTAAGCAATTTTCCGAAGCGACAGGCAGATGCCATTGAAGTCCCTCTCCGCCTCCTCCTTGAAACCTGGTATATAGAACCTGTAACCCATCCCATCCCCCATTCGATCATCAGGCATATTAGCTGGGTCTTCTTGCGTGGCGGATTGGCCTCCGAGAGGCCCGCGCTGTGCGAGAAAATCAGCCCACATCTGAACAGTCGGGCGCATGCTGAGCGGCTGATTGAAGAAGCGTCGGCCTGGCTCCACGGCCGTGCATGCTAGTCGACGGCGCAGACGGTGGATGAGGGCCCAACGCGACGCTTTCCAAGCGTCCCAAATCTGATCGGCTAGCGACTCCATGCGAGACTGACGATCTGCATCTCGCTCATTTTTTTATCTGGCGTGTGACCGCGAACAATCTAGCCTGGACTTGTGTGAGTTCTTGAAAATACACACTGTAAGCGATAAAAACGGCAGGAATACCAGCAAGCTTCTCTCGAAGTTCAAATCGATGACGAAGGAGGGTGCGCTGGGCCTCGCGATCACGGGCGTGTTCAGCATCTTCTTCTGTATATCTGGCAACATATCCCAGGGCGATGCCGCGAATGTCCCCCACGAGCTGCTCCCAGGCCCGATCTGGAGTCGCCTTGAGTTGGTGCCCGGCGGGGAACGTGCGAAAGCGCATGTCGTCGACCTCGCAGAGAAACCTAGCTCGCCAGAGTCCGTCAACACCTCCAGCGACCATTCGATCATTATCCCAAGACTCAGCTTTGGTGTGGGGCGCCGCGGGGAAGCTGAGGAGGTACCTTACCGAGACCTGGAAGGGGCCAGTGATCCCATCGTCGGACCGTGGGGACCATCAGGAGCCTTCTACCGAGCTTCTAGAGGACCCTGCACTGTGTGACCGATGAGACCCAGGTACGAGGGGCCCCTATGTAGTCTACGCGCGTGCTGTTCTGCCTCCCAAAGAACGTGTCCTCCCCACCTATGAACGTGTTGATGAGACATAGTCCAAACTGCTCAAGATAGGTGCGCATTTTCTTCATACAACAGTGTTCAGGTCGTGGAAACAGGTTGCCTATCGGGTCGAATTCATCGGAGATGTGTTCAGCTGGGGGCACGCCTGCATGGTCGTTCAGGTCGCCTCCGAAGATAATCGAGCATCTGGCGGCTTGTTCACTAGAAATGTCTGTCATCCACTGAAGTAGCGCATCCACACTTTTTTGATCGAGGCTTCTTTGTTTAGCTGTCGACGGCCGAGGGGGGAAGTAAACAACGATGGCCAATATGTAAAACCGACCCGATCGAAGAAGCACGGCGCCTCCTCGCCCTTGAAGAGCGGCTGGTGGTGAATATGCTGCAACGATGTGGCGCATCCTGAAAAGATCCTTTCGAAGTCTTATTTGAACTCCTGCATGGGCATTCGAAAAAAACACCGCGACTGTACCCCCAACTGAGAATGTGGAGGTCTGGATCGACGATGCTGGTGCAACAATTGTCTGTCGCCTTCATCCGAAGTCTGGTGCCTGTCAGGAAGACGATAACCTTACGAGCGTATGCAAGAGAGACCTCCGTATGTCGGCCTGGCTGGACAAGAGAACAAACATTATGCGTGACAAGATTGAGGCTGCGATGCTCCACCATCCCGCTATCCTTTCTGCGCGTGGGGGCGAGGGGCTCCACAAGAACAAGAGGGAAACATGGCGCAAAGAGTAACAGTATGGTAAGGAAAGGTGAGGCGTGTACATATGGCATCGCGCGCGGAGCTGGACGCCTGGAGGAGGAGGAGGAGGAGGAGGAGGAGGAGGAGGAGGAGGAGGAGGAGGAGGAGAGGAGATATGTAGAGGAGGGTAAACAACCAGCCTCAGCAAGTCTCAATCATAGGGCCACACAGCCTACTTACTTCAGGCCAGCCAGTACCGTCCTGGCCAGCCTACCACAACTTTGCAGATATCACTATGCAGGCGAGGTACTGTGCTCTGTGGTGTATTGCGTGTTTATTTCGATCCCTCTTGTTCGACTCCTCGGTATTCGATTCGTTTTCGCCTCGCGTTTCGGCCTACCTCCCCTACCGAACTGCAGAGCGAGCGCATACTCTGTGCCCTTTCGGGCCTACTTCTTTTAGCTGTCTCTGTCGCATCTCCTTGTCCTACTGCGCTCACCTTGCCCAATTTGTCGAGCACGGCCTCGCACTGTTTCTTCTGACCAGAACGCTGCAGCCACAGAGCTAGAGTCTGGCCAACGACAAAAAGGAGGGGCATGGAGGAGGAGGAGGAGGAGGAGGAGGAGGAGGAGGAGGAGGAGGAGGAGATTGAGGAGAGGAGAGGAGGAGGAGGAGGAGGAGGAGGAGGAGGAGGAGGAGGAGGAGGAGAGAGACGAGGGGAGAAGGAGAGGAGCCCCTCACCGAGGGGCCCCTCGCCATAGGCGGCGGCCTCGGTGGCGAGCGGGCGGCGAGGGGAATCTTTTTTTTGTTTGGGCTGCCTGGGGTTCTGCTGCGGTGGTGCTGGTCGAAGGAGATGGAGGGCCCAGTTCCTCCTCCTCCGCTTCTTCCTCCTCCTGGAAGGCCGCCCAAGCTCAGGCTCCCTTCGGCCTGGCCTCAGGTGGCCTAGCGCGCCGGCTCCCCAGCCAGCCAGCCGCGCTCGCCATAGGCACGGCGGGCAGATCTGCTCCCGAGGCTGCATGGCACAGGCGACAGCGTGCGCGACGCGCGCGCGCGACCGACCGACCTCCTCCTGGAGGGCCTGGCTGTCTTCGTGAGTCCAGCGGCGTCGCCAACGCCCCTGGCCAGGTGTTCAGCACACTCGGATCGCCGGGCACCTCGTCATCTCTGCGCCAGAGGGGCCCGCGGGCGATCGCGACAAAGGCAGGAGCCGGCTCTCCCGCGGACGCGCAGCTCTGATTCTGACTGCTGTCGTCACTGCCGCCGCTGTCGGCATCGACGAGCCTTGCGAGGCCGTAACTTCTGAATCACTTGCAACGACGGACAGAAGTGTAATCTTAAGTCGGGCCTGTCCCCCTACAGGGGGATTTTGGGCGAAAAATAAAAAATAGTCAAACAATACACCAAAATGGCAAAAATGCTAAAAAATCGTCCCCAGACTATTTTTTGTACTATTTTTGAATATTTCCCCTGTAGAGGGACAGGCCCGACTTAAGTGTCATCTCGTCGGCGCATGGCGATGTTTCTACATAGTCTTCATTGTGCAATCGAGAAGCTACACGCAGACATGAGCGTCAACATCCGAGCGCAGGATGATTATATTGCACAGACCCTGTGAGAGGAACCTGCAGCAAGCCGACAAGAAGTCCAGAGGCGACAGCGAACAGAGACACCGATCGCCGACCACAACGAGCAACAGCATTATTCCAAGCGTTGAGTGCGCAGTGGCACCGGGACGCTCTAGAAGCATGGCTTTCGATTCAGATCACAAGGAAGATCAATTTGCGGTCTGTCTCAAAAAGCGGATCCAGCTTTCCTACACGCTGCCCCAGAGGCACTGGGCCAAGACTGCGATGACATGTTTCGTTGTCATCTGCCTCACTGCAATTGCACGAATATCTCCGCTGTCTTCAGAAGTCTCCGGAGGTCCCCACAGGATCCCCAGGAGGTCTCTGGAGGTCTCAGGAGGCCAAAGGAAACCCAGAGACGCCAAAAAGGTTCTAATTCGTTGGCCGAGCGTCGAATTTCTACTCTCTTCCTCATCCTCCCTTCTTCTCCTTCCTCCTGCCTCCTCTTCTTCCTCCTTCCCTGCGGTTGCACCGTGGCGTGTGTATTTCTACGCCTGGGGCTTGGGGAATGCCGTCTTGTGCCGAACGTCAAGTCTGTGCCTGGGGCTTCTGGAAGCCCACACAAGGGCAATATCGTTAAGAATCGTCCCAAAAGCCTTTTCCTCCTCCTTATCCTCCGCACCCTTCTCCTCCTCCTCCTCCTTCTCCTCCTCCTCCTCCTCCTCCTCCTCCCTTCCTCCTTCCTCCATCCACCTCCCTCCCTCCTTCTTCGTCCTTTTGTCATTCCTCCTTCCTCCTTCCACCTTCGTCCTTCCTCCTTCCGTCTTCCTCCTTCTTCCGCCTTCCTCCCATTTTTCCTTATCTTCCTCTTCCTATTCCTCGTCCTCTTCCTCTTCTTCTTCCTCCTCTTCCTCTTCCTCTTCCTCTTCCTCCTCCCTTCCTCCTTCCTCCTTCCTCCGTCCTCCTTTCTCCCGCCGTCCTTCTTTCTCCTTTTCTCATTCCTCCTTCCCCCTTGGCCCCTCCTCCTTCCGCCTTCCTCCTTGTTCCTTCTCTTTCTCCCACCTTCCTCATCTTCCTCGTCCTCTTTCTTATCCTCTTCCTCCACTACTTCCTGCTCCTCTTCCTCTTCCTCTTTCTCTTACAGTACTCTCCCTCCTCCTCACCCTCTTCCCTCCTCCTCCTCCTCCTCTTCCCCCTCCTCCTCCTCTTCCCCCTCCTCCTCGTCGTCGTCGTCCTCCTCCTCCTCCTCCTCCTCTTGGGAGTGGGGGGGCCTGTCGTCCTCGACATGAGGTCCTGCAGGGCCGCCGAAAACTCCGCCTGGGGCCGGGGGCGGGGCTGGAGAGCCGACTCTCCAGCTGGTGGGCAGGAGGCTTCTGCGGCAGCGCCCCGCGGCCCGAAACCGGGGAGGAGCAGGAGGGAGCAGGAGGGAGGATGGGTCGACGACGTGACGAGGAGGATCATGCTGCCATGAATATGTATTTACATATAGATATATGCGCATGCTTTATTACGTATGCGTATATGTATATGTAAATGTTCATATGCATGTCTCTCTATACATAGATATTTGTTTACACGTATACGTATGTGCATCTGTATATTCATATGTACATATATGTATATGTATATGTATATGTATATGTATATGCATAGGAACATGCATATGTATGTATGTATGTTTGATGTATGTTTGTATGTCTGTATGTATGATTGTTTGCTTGTGTGTATGTACGTCGGTATGTAGTACGTATGTATGTGTGCATGTATGTCTGCATGCACGTATGTATGTGTGCAGGCATGTATGTATGTATGTACGTACGTATGTATGTATGTATGTATGTAAGTAAATCTGTTTGTGTGTGCACATGTGTATGCATGCATGTCTGTATACGTAGTTCTATGTTTATGTGTATAGGTATGTATATGTATGTATGTATATATATATATATATTCTATGTATAAAAAACACTGCCCGATGGGCCTCCGAGATCGCCCCAAAACGGGCCAAGAGGTCCCCCAGAGAGTTTGAAGACGACCCAAGAGGGCCCCAAGACTGCCCCAGAGAGCCCCGAGACTGCTCACAAGAAGGCCATTGGAGGCCCCCAGGAGGGCCTTAGACTGCTTCAGAAGACCCCGGGGGGGCCCCAGCTCCCCAAGACGGCTCAGGCCCCAGGACGGCCTAAACGATCCCCCAAAATGCCCAGACGGCGTACTCCTACGAAGTACATCGTGCTGACCCGACGATCTTGGTTTCATGCTTGAGGCTCGAAGTGTAAATTCCTCGATCGAGAGAGACATGATGTGGATCTGGAATCGAAGCTTGACGATTGAAAATTTCCTGAGTGCCTGGAGCCCTCTGGGCATTCAGGAAGCGACCAAACATCGATTTGTTCGGAGCTACTGCGACTTCTTCGGCGTGTCATGGGGACGCTCATTACTTCCTCAAAGGATGGACTCAACCACCGGAGTAGGCGGAAGAGGAGGAAAGGAGGAGGAAAGGATGGGTAGGGATAAACCTTGGAGGTGGCAGATGCAAAGTTAAACGCAACTTGTCTCCCTACCTCCTCCCATGAGGACCGGTGCTGAAACAAACGATGATTTATTGCTTTCCCAGGGAAGCGTTCAGAACAAGGCGCATGGCGCGAAGCGCCAATGCAGTCATGTGTATATATATACACATACACACGTCTATATATATATATATATATATATGTGAGAGAGCGTGATCCACCGCCGCTTTACTGTGGAAAATTGCCAACCTTTTCCTCCGGAGCCCGGGGATCTCCCCCCCCCCCCTCCGAAACCCCCCCCCCCGCTCCCCCCCTCCCCTTTCCCCCCGGCAAAACCCCCCCCCCCTAACCCCCCCCCCCCTCCCCCCCCCCCTCGAAAACTGGGGGGGGGGGTCACTACCGGTTCGAACCCCTCCCCCCCCCCCCTCCCCGGATCCGGAAAAAAAACCGGGGGGGTCACTACCGGTTGGAACCCCCCCCCCCGAAAACCGGAGGGGGGTCACACCGCGACCCCCCCCCCCCCACACCCCCCGGTCCCTACCACCGCTCGCATCACATCCCCCACTGTTGTTCCCAGCACCACTGTCCTCACCACCACTGTCCCCACTGGTTCCACCACCGTCCCTATTGTCCCCACCAGTGCCCCCACCACTGTCGCACTGTCCCCACTGTTCCCACCACTGTTCCCACCACGGTTCCACTCTCCCCACTGTCTCCACGGACCCAACCACTGCCTATCCCCACTGTCCCCACTGTCCCACTGACTCCTCCGCTGTCCCACTGAGCTGTCCCACTGTTCCCACCACTGTCCCCACTGTCCCCACCACTGTCCCCACTGTACCTGTGTCCCATTGTCCCACCGCCGTCCTCGCCACCGCCTCTACCACTGTCCCCACCACCATTGTACCCTCCACTGTCCCACTGTTTCCACCTCATTCCCACTGTCCCCACACCACTGTCCCCACCACCACCGTCCCCACCACTGTCCACTGTCCCCCCTGTTCCCACCATTGTCCCCACCACTGTCCCCACCACTACCGTCCCCACCACTGTCCCACCCACTGTCCCCACCACTGTCCCGCTGTCCCCTCACCACTGTCCCCACCAACACCGTCCCCACCACTGTCCGCACCCCCACTCGGTTTTCGAGGGGGGGGGGGGGTTCGAACCGGTAGTGACCCCCCCCCTTTTCATGATGAACTGGGTGGGGGGGGGGGGGGAGGGGTTCGAATCGGTAGTGACCCCCCCCGGTTTTCCGGAGGGGGGGGGGGAGGGGTTCGAACCGAACCGGTAGTGACCCCCCCCGGTTTTCCGCCAGCAGCAGTAGAACACGCTCTTTCATATATGTGTATTCTCATACGCACCTCTCCGAGGGAGTAGAGCTCAGAGGCGATTGATGCGTACGCAGGGCGCCGCGTCCGCGATTCTTCTGGCCGTTTCGCTCGGGACATCCTCGAAATTCTGAAAACCGGTGGCACCCCTCACGCAGATCGTGACGTCAGGGTCCACAAACTCATAGGAATTTCAACATTCTAGCATAACACATTCGAAAACACATGGTAATTTCAATGATTTTGACCCCGATTCTCCAAGAATGGCGATTTCGCCTGAGACATCCTCCCAACATCGAGCCCCGACGTGCCTTCTGGTACCCCAGACCCCGCCTCGGAGCCTCTTGGGAGCCTCCTGGAACCTCCTGGGGCCTCCTGGGGCTTTCTGTACTTTCTGGTGCCCCAGACCCCGCCTCGGAGCCTCCTGGGGGTCTCCTGGAACCTCCTGGGGCCTCCTGCGGCCTCCTGGAGCATCTTGGGGCCTCCTGGAGCCTCCTGGGGTCTTCTGGGGCCTCCTGAGGCCGCCTGGGGCCTCCTGGGGCGTTCTGGGGCCTCATAACTACATGCAAACACAGAGACACAAATCACACCCAACACATCACACGCTAGACAAACATAACACACACACAACACCTACAACGCACAGGAAACACGCACAACCCAGAACACACATCACACACACAACACTCACAATCCGGGGGCCTCCTGGAGCCTCTTCCGGTATCCAAGTCGGGCCTCCTGAGGTTTCCTGGGGGGCCCTGGTACACACATCGCAAGGTGTGGCAACCCCACTTGCGCTCGAGTGCGACCCCGATCTTAGATTCTTCTGCGTTCACCTCCTGCCTCTTCCCCTTCTCTTAAGCACGCCCTGGCGGCGCCGCCCCAGCTTCCCCTTCTCCATCTCCGATCCTGCAGTCATGGTGTGTTCCTGCTTCAAACGCCCGTTCAGTTTTTTGTATGAGCCTGGGCACACACGTGCCACTTGTATATGTATGCGTATATATATATATATATATATATATATATATATATAAATATATATTATTATATATATATAGGTCCCTGAACCCACCATGAACCCTTCTTTCCCCCTGGAACTTCCAAGAGGAAAGAAAGGTTGGTGGGTCGTCGTGCTGGAGCGCGCGCGCGTGTACAAGAGGAAGATGACAAAGAGACGGAGGGAGGGTGAGTATCGGGAGGGTGTGTTGGAGATGGGTGGAGTGGAGTATACGGAAGGTGTGGAGTGGACGGAGGCTGTGGAGTAGAAGAATATTTTCAAGTTCAGCTTGGGGAGGGAGCCTGTTGAGTACCGGAGGGTGTGTTGGAGACGGGTGGAGTGGAGTGTACGAAAGTTGTGGAGTGGACGGAGGCTGTGGAGTAGAAGGACATTTTCAAGTTCAGCTTGGGGAGAGAGCCTGTTGAGTATCGGGAGGGTGTGTTGGAGACGGGTGGAGTGGAGTATACGGAAGGTGTGGAGTGGACGGAGGCTGTGGAGTAGAAGGACATTTTCAAGTTCAGCTTGGGGAGGGAGCCTGTTGAGTATCGGGAGGGTGTGTTGGAGACGGGTGGAGTGGAGTATACGGAAGGTGTGGAGTGGACGGAGGCTGTGGAGTAGAAGGATATTTTCAAGTTCAGCTTGGGGAGGAGCCTGTTGAGTATCGGGGGTGTGTGTGGAGACGGGTGAGAGTATACGGAAGGTGTGGAGTGGACTGTGGAGTAGAAGGATTTTCAAGTTCTTGGGGAGGGAGCCTGTTGAGTATCGGAAGGGTGTGTGGGAGACGGGTGGAGTGGAGTATACGGAAGGTGTGGAGTGGACGGAGGCTGTGGAGTAGAAGGATATTTTCAAGTTCAGCTTGGGGAGGGAGCCTGTTGAGTATCGGGAGGGTGTGTTGGAGACGGGTGGAGTGGAGTATACGGAAGGTGTGGTGTGGATGATGATGATGATGATGATGATGATGATGATGATGATGATGATGATGATGATGATGATGATGATGATGATGATGATGATGATGATGATGACGGGGGAACGGCCTTGGGGGGGGCTTCTGGGGGGGTCCCGCCGGGGCTCTCCGAAAATGCACGGAAACTATAAGAATTCATATAGTTTTGGAGGAATGAAGGGTTCATGGTGGGTTCAGCGGGCTATATATACATATGTGTGTGTGTTATCATACGCACCTTTCCGAGGGAGTAGAGCTCAGAGGCGATAATGCGTACGCGCCGCGTCGTTCGCGATTTTTCTGGCCGTTTCGCTAGGGACATCCTCGAAATTCTGACAATCGGTGGCACCCCTCACACAGATCGTGACGTCAGGGTCCAAAAACACATAGGAATTTCAATATCTCAACATAAAACCTTCAAAAACACATGGTAATTTCAATGATTGTGACCCCGCTTCTCAGAGAATTGCGATTTCACCTGCGACATCGGAGCCTCCTGGGAGCCTCCTGGAACCTCCTGGGGCCTCCTGGGGCCTCCTTGGGCCTGCGGTCTCTTGGTCGGGCCTCCTGGAGCCTCTTGCAACCTTCTGGTCGGGCCTCCTTAGGCCTCCATGGACATCCTCGCAACCTCGATCCCAGACGACCCCTCCTGGGGCCTCCTGAAATATTTTCCGGCATCTTGGTCGGGCCTCCTGAGGCTTCCTGAGGGCCCGTGGTACACACATCGCAAGGTGTGGCAACCCCGCTTGCGCTCGAGTGCGACCCCGCTATTGCACTCGATGCCGCCCTGGCGGCGCCGCGTCAACTTCCCCTTCGTCATCTCCGATCCCGCCGTCATGGTGTCTTCCTGCTCCAAACGACTTTTCAGTTTTTTGTATGAGCCTGGGCACAGCCACTTGTATAAAGATATTTCCGTCAGTGCCCTGAGGCACGAGTTGGAGTGTCCTCAAGGACCCCAAGAGGCACCCAAGACTGCCCAAAAGGGCCCCGATTCGCTGAACGATCGGTCCAGTACGTCCAAGATGGCTTGAAGAGGGCTGACGAGGCGCCCAAGACGCCACAAGAGAGGCCCAAAGAGGCCTCCCAAGAGGCAAGAATCATCCAATTCCCTTTCGGGGAACGCAAAGGCAATCTTTTTGGCATATGCGACTTTTCAGGCTCACTGCGTACAAGACGGCCCGAGAGGCCCCCAAGATCGCCCCCAGACGGTCCAGCAGGCCCCAAGAGGGCCCCAAGACGGCCCCAGACGGCCCAAGAGAGCCCCAAGACGCCTCCAAGTGTGGTTCAAGAGGGAGCCCGAACCGAACCGACAATTCGAGCTTTCCGCCCCAAGATACCTCCAGGAGGCCCCAAGAGGACTCCAAGAGGCCCCAAGAGGCCCCCAAGAGGCTCCCAACACGCCTCGAACAACCCGGGAGCCCTCAAAACTGCCTTCGATAGATCCCCCAGTGTCCTCCCATGACATCCCAAAGGACATTCTATAGGCCCATGACCCACAGCCCAGGCATTGTGGCGTCATGGGCCGAAGGATATATATATATATACATATATGTACATGCAGCAATCCATGTGTATGTTTGTGATATAGATATATACACATGTGTGTGCGTGTTAAAGCACTGCCCTGCCACTGCCCCGTGAGGGGCTGGCGACTTCCCCCCTTGTCACCTTCGGGCTCGCAAGGCGTCCCTGGGTGCATCGCTTAGCCCGGCGACAGCTCGCTGCTCCGAGCGTGAACTCAAACGCGCGAATGGTTCCTCGGCCCCCACCGCGTGCGACCAAAGTGTGTGTGTGTGTGTGTTGTGTGCGTGTGTGTGATCACAGTTTCGCGCAGAGAGGTCTACGCTTCCTGGCAATTCCAAGCTCCCTTTGGCCGCTTCCTGTGGCAGGGCCACAGGGTTCGCGACGGGGCGCAATCCTCACCTCCCCCTGCATACGGCATACGAGTTCAAAATATGACAGCTCGGTCCCCTCACTCTGATACGGCAGATTCGCGTCGTGCCGAGCCTGGCGTTGGTTCCTGACACCGCGGGGATCGCTCAAACCTGAACGACTGGCCCTTTCAAACAGGCCGCATCGTTCAAGGATGGGCCGATTCTGGGCCACAGGCGGCGTTCCACCTGAAACGCCCGCGCTGGGGTCGCCGCTGGTCGACACGATGCGAACCTGCCGTACGCGGACGCTGGCAGCTGGGCTTGCCCCTGTCTCACTCTGGCCCTGCCATCCTCCGCACCGCTGCGCCCCGCCATCCCCTCCGTCGCCCCGCCTGCGCCGCGACTGCGGCCCCCTGCATCCTGTCTTCTTCGTCCGCCTCCGCCCCGTCCTCCCGAGAGCTCGGTTGGGCACGGCCTCCTGCGGGCGTCCTCTGCAGGAGAGGCGACGCATGGCCAGAGCAGACTCGAGAAGCACAGGACCAAAAAAGGCACGGAACATCGTCCCCATCCTATCTTTTGGCCAGTCTCGAGCATTCCTCCTGTGGATCGGGGGCGGCCAAGGGGGGGGCGTCCAAGAGCGGGGGGGTGCAAATCATGACCGGCGGCATGTGCGCGGCCCAGGGGGGGGGGGGGCGGGGGACGTGATGATTAAGAGGACGCGCCATGAACTCTGAGGAACTATCATGGCCCCCGCCATGATCCCCCCCCCCCTCAGTCACCCCCCCCCTCTTGGCCGCCCAAGACACCAGCTCGGAGGCTCCATCCTCGAACTCGGGGGTGGGGGTGCTGTCCATTTTTCCAGACCCCGGGTGTCATGTTTTTCTTTTCGTGGCGTCGACCCCCAGACGGCTCGACCCATTCCCCAGGGCTGGTGCGCCATCCCGAGGCCCCCAGAGGCCGGAAATAGCGACCCCCCCCCTAGTCATCACCCCCCTCTTTGCCGCCTCCGAGTGGAGGAGGGCGGAGGAGGAGGAGGAGGAGGAGGAGGAGGAGGAGGAGGGAGGAGGAGGGAGGAGGAGGAGGAGGAGGAGAGGAGGAGGAGGAGGAGGAGGAGGAGGAGGAGGAGGAGGAGGAGGAGGGACGTGCGGGGCCCCCCCCCAAGGAGGGCGGCGGCGGCGGCGGGGGCCCCCGGCCGCCGCCTGCCACCGGTCGCCCGCCGAGGCCGGGAGCAGCAGGCTCCCGCGGAGCCGGCAGCGGACGCGGCTCTCCTCCGCGGGCGGGCTGGCCTGGCGCGGCCGCCCCTCCGAGGTGCGGAGCGGGGCGGCACGCAAGAGTGGCCCTGGGTAAGAGTGACCTTTGGTGCGCGGCTTTGTGGGGGGCGCGGGGAGGCCAACACACACGAGAGCGCAAGACGCCAACATCGCAACGAGCGCGGCGATCGGGGGACCCCAGTGAGCGCGCAGCAAAGGTCACTCTGGCGAAGGGTCACTCTTACGTCTAGTCGAAGAGTGGGGCGGCAGAGAGGCTCGATCGCCACCGGCTCGGAGGCTCCAGCCTCGAACTCGGGGGGTGGGGAGGCTGTCCCTTGTTCGTTACGACTGCCGTTGCTTTACCTCCTCCTCCTCCTCCTACTCCTCCTGCTCCTGCTGCTCCTCCTCCTCCTCCTCCTCCTCCTCCTCCTCCTCCTACTCCTCTTGTTCCCTGCGCGTACGCCGCCGAACTCGCGAATGGGAGGGATCCCCTGGCTTGGAGACATCGCTCGAGATCGCCCGAGGGGGGCGTCCAAGAGGGGGGTGCGCAAACCATGCTCGGCGGCATGTGCGCGGCCCAGGGGGGGGGGGGGGTCCAGGGACGTATTGAAATAAGAAGAGGCGCCACGAAATCTGGGAAGATCTCATGGCCCCCGCCATGATATCCCCCCCCCCTCAGTCATCACCCCCCTGTGGCCGCCAAAGACACCAGCTCGGAGGCTCCATACTCGAACTTGGGGGTGGGGGTGCTGTCCACTTTTCCACAACAGGGTGTCATGTTTTCCCAACCATCCTGTGGTGTTGGGTCCTCGTTTTGAAGAGACGGTGCCCCGCGTCTCCTTCCTCCTCCTCCTCCTCCTCCTCCTCCTCCCCCTCCTTGCCTTTGCTCTCCGCATGTCTCTGTGTCGGCACACCTCTCACACGTTTCGTGGCCCCATAAAAAAGGGTTCCACCTAAGGTCCCACTGGCGCAGCCCGCATGGCGGCGCCGCCCCATTTTGAAACACCCCTCACACGTTTCGTGGCCCCATAGGGAGCTCCACCTGAAGTCCCAGTGGCGCAGCCCGCATGGCGGCGCCGCTCCATTTTGGCATACCCCTCACACGTTTCGTGGCCCCATAGGGAGCTCCACCTGAACTCCCAGTGGCGCAGCCCGCATGGTGGCGCCGCCCGATGCTGGTACACCCCTCACACGTTTCATGGCCCCATAGGGCGCTCCATCTAAGGTCCCAGTGGCGCAGCCCGCATGGCGGCGCCGGTCCATTTTGGCACACCCCTCACACGTTTCGTGGCCCCATAAGGGAGCTCCACCTGAGGTCCCAATGGCGCAGCCCGCATGGCGGCGCCGCTCCATTTTGGCACACCCCTCGCACGTGTCGTGGCCCCATAGGGAGCCCCATCTAGGGTCCCAGTGGCGCAGCCCGCATGGCGGCGCCGCCCCAGTCTGGCACACCCCTCACACTTCTTGTGGCCCCATAGGGAGCTCCACCTGAAGTCCCAGCGGCGTTGCCCGCATGGCGGCGCCGCCCTATTTTGGCACGCCCCTCACACGTTTCGTGGCCCCTCACACGTTTTAGACACCGTCTCTCCGTCTCGTGGACTGTCGCCCTGGGCCGTCGTCTGTCCAGCGCGCTGCCCCCTCGGCCGACGCCCAGGCGTGATCCTGGACTGCGGCCGCCACGAGGTGGGGAACGGCAGGAAGGAGGACGACGACTGGCGGCTGGAGCTCTACGCGCTGCTCTCGCGCGCCACGTGCCACGAGAACCTCCTGCTCACGCCGGCGCCGCGAATCGAGTTCTTCCCGGCAGGGCCACCGGAGGGATTGCGGAAGCAGCTGGGGCAGATTGCTACGCGCACGAAGCGGCGCAGGAGGGAGGCGACGGAGCTCGCCAGGGAGCTGGGCTTCACCGAGTTTATCCGCGAGGCTTGATTTGAAAAGCGACCCGCCCGAGCCTCGCCGTCTCTCGACGGTCTGACAGTTTGGCTTCGCGCCGCGGGCAACCCGCGCGCGTCGCTGGGGCCCACTCGGGGCGACCAGCGCGCGTCGCGGGAATTCCGCGCTGCGCTCTGCCCAGAGCCTCGCTCGCCCCCGTCGTCTCTCTGCCCGGCGGCCACAGCCTTGCCCGCTATCAGCCAGCCGCTCTCTCAGCTCCGCGCAGCGGACGACCCGCGCGCGTCGCCGGGACCCATTCGGGGCGACCGGCGTGCCCGCAGCCTCGGACATGGGCGCGCACGGGCAAAAGAGAGAGAGAAAGAGAGAGAGAAAAAACAAATAACGGGAAGGAAGCGGGCGCGATCTTCGGGAGGAGCGCGCCGACATGGGCGTCGACGCTTATGCGCGTGGACTGATTCGCACGAAGACTCATTCACAATTAGACTCACTCGCGCTCAGTCTCTCGCACGCAGACCAATCGTCTTCGCTGGCATCGCGTGCCCCGCCACGCATCTCGGCGCGCCCCTCGTACGGTTCGTGGCCCCATAGGGAGCGCGGGCAAAGATGATATTCAGAATTAAGGTATTCACAACTGCGCATGGTTGGGTCCTTCGCCAGGATAATTTTCGTGGCGTCGACCCCCAGACGGCTCGACCCGGGGCTGGTGTTTCATCCCGAGTCGTTTTTTGACTTCTCTGGGGCCCGGATAATAAGCCCCCGAAGGCCAGAAATAGCGAAAAACCTCCCGTCGTGATCTTTTCATGACTCGAGGGGGTCTGGGTTAGAGGCCTCTCAGATGGGGTCCGAGTAGATGGGGTCGGAGGATCGCGCCGTATAGCCGATGCTTCGGCGATGTACCTGCGATGTCGGCGCTGCATCGGCGACGTCGACGTGGAGAACATCGGGCTCCACATCGAGCAGCATCGCCGAGGCATCGATTCTCCGACCCCAGCTACTCGGGCCCCATCGAGGAGGCCTAGATGATTTGGGAAAAGCGGAGGGGGGCGGTCTCCGAGGCGGTGCAGCTGCTTCTTCTGGCGCCTCGAGGCGGCGGGGGGTGCGCTGCGGTGGAGCCTCGAAAGCAGCTGCAGCCGCAGCTCCCCAGACTTTCCCGCGTTGAGCAACATCGCGACGAGAATTTTTTTTCACCATTTTCGACCTTTGGGGGCCCTTAAACAGGCCTCGGGACCGTCAAGAAAACGACTCAGTGATAAAAACCGGCCCTGGGGAAGGGGTCGAAACCTCTGGGGGTCGACGCTGTGAAAAACAACGACGTCTTCACGTGAAGGGGTCGAGACCTCTGGGGGTCGACGCTGTGAAAAATCACGACGTCCAGGGGAAGGGATCGAGGCCTCTGGGGGTCGACGCTGTGAAAGATCAACACGTCCCGGGGAAGGGGTCGAGGCCTCTGGGGGTCGACGCCGTGGAAAATCACGACGTCGGGGGTCTGAATTTCGCAGTGCCCCTTCCCGCATGGCCCTGTGCGAGCTGTGGTGGCCTTGCGACAGGAAGCAGGCAGAAGTTTCGCCGCTCGGACCGCCCGACAAGTGGAAGGCCAGACATTTACTTCAGAGGGCTCTGGCTGGCAGTGAAAGTGATCGTTTTCTCATTCATTGCTTTGCCGATCGGCGCGGGCCCTCGCAGCCGCCCTCCCCCCCTGGAGTAGATCTTGGCTGTTTTTGGCGCCTCTTCTAAGCAGGTGGAGTCTCCCCCATCGGACGCACTTTGGCAAACAGTCGCATGAAGCAGAGGTCCGGAGCCAGGCGCCCCCCCTCTCCCCCCCCTTTCCGCCCAATGTCGAAACGCCGAACGAGAAAACGTTCACAAAGCTCAGCGAAGGAAACATTCGCTGGTTGTGGATGGCCTTTGACTCGCATGGAGTCTCCGAGCTCGATGCCGATTTTCTGTGCTCTTCTGCACTTCGCAGTCACTCTTCCGCACCGTTCGAGATGGCAGGTCCCTCTGGCCATTCTGCGCCATTCTGCTAGCAACACGTGCACTACTTCGGTCTATGTTGATTGTGCCAGAAGGTCAAGGGTATTGAGCCTCTGCGTACAATGCACGTGCTTATCAACGAAGAGACAGATGGCGCAAGCTGATGGGCCTCAACTACCACCGTGCTAGTGGTTGGGAAATGAATGCGCTCCCTTCGGGCCGCACACACATACAAATATCGAACAATAATTTCTTCTCCGTGCCTCTTATCGCCTTGTCAATGGATTCTCGATCCCTTCCCAAGGACCTGTTCTCGTGCGGGATAATTTTTAACGTGCCGAACGAGGCTTCCAGACGCCGTCAATTGCGGGAAGCCGCTGTCTTGATCTTTTCAAGTTGTTGGACGTCTGGGCCAGGAGAGGGCATGGATGACGACGGCGAGGAAAAGTGTCTGGCTGACCAAACGCCTGGGGGCAGGCTCCCGCCTTTCCCCCCCCGCGGCTTGCCCTTCGAAGTCTGCCCGTCTTCGCCTTCTCTCGTGGGCAGGGCAGCCCGCTGCAAGGATACTCTTTCTCCAGAGCTGGCCCACCACATCGGCAGAGGAGACGCCGAGAAGGCAAGGACGCTATAGCGCATCCGTGGAAGGCTACCTCGTGCTTATTGTGGGTGGCAGCGGTATTTGGAATGAGGGGAAGGGACCCTGAGGGGATAGAGGCCTCCTAGATGGGGTCCGAGTAGGTGGGGTCGAAGGATCGCGCCGACGTCGCCGATGCATCGCCGATGCATTGGCGCTGCATCGGCGACGTCGGCGTAGGGAAACACGGTCGCCACATCGAGCCGCATCGCCGAGGCATCGGCGATGCGGCGCGATCATCCGACCCCATCTACTCTTAAGTCGGGCGTGTCCCCCTACAGGGGGATTTTGGGAGAAAAATGAAAAATACTCAAGAAATGCCACCCCAATGGGCAAAAATAGTCAAAAGATCGTCCCAAGACTATTTTTTGACTATTTTTGAATATTCCCCCTGTAGAGGGACACGCCCGACTTAAAGCTGCTCCGACCCCATCGGGGAGGCCTAGAAAGGAACGGCTTCTGGACCCCAGGGCCTTCCGCCGGGACGGGTCTCTCGCACGGCAGCGAGCGTCGACTCCAGGGGCAGGGGGAAGGG